CTGGTGTCTTCTTAGGTAAAGAAGGCATCTGGCATTGTGCAGGTTAAAAGAACACAACAAAAACTAATATTGATTACACATGAAATGCAGCATTTATTATCTCTCTTGCTATTTTTACATACATGAAATACTACATCGTGATCTCCGTGTATGATGAGAATACACACATCATGTCCTGTATGGAGCGTTAGCCGCAGTAAACCTGCTGCGATGCATCTGTCAACTTATTTTTCACATTTTCTGCAGCACTAAAGGAGAGAGCAGTGTTTCATTATGCAGGTGCCACTGTGACACTACATCCTGATATACACCTGAACATCAGCAGGAGAGGACTCTTTAAAGTAGAGACACTACATACTGATATACACCTGAACATCAGCAGGAGAGGACTCTTTAAAGTAGAGACACTACATACTGATATACACCTGAACATCAGCAGGAGAGGACTCTTTAAAGTAGAGACACTACATACTGATATACACCTGAACATCAGCAGGAGAGGACTCTTTAAAGTAGAGACACTACATACTGATATACACCTGAACATCAGCAGGAGAGGACTCTTTAAAGTAGAGACACTACATACTGATATACACCTGAACATCAGCAGGAGAGGACTCTTTAAAGTAGAGACACTACATACTGATATACACCTGAACATCAGCAGGAGAGGACTCTTTAAAGTAGAGACACTACATACTGATATACACCTGAACATCAGCAGGAGAGGACTCTTTAAAGTAGAGACACTACATACTGATATACACCTGAACATCAGCAGGAGAGGACTCTTTAAAGTAGAGACACTACATACTGATATACAGCTGAACATCAGCAAGAGAGGACTCTTTAAAGTAGAGACACTACATACTGATATACACCTGAACATCAGCAGGAGAGGACTCTTTAAAGTAGAGACACTACATCCTGATATACACCTGAACATCAGCAGGAGAGGACTCTTTAAAGTAGAGACACTACATCCTGATATACACCTGAACATCAGCAGGAGAGGACTCTTTAAAGTAGAGACACTACATACTGATATACACCTGAACATCAGCAGGAGAGGACTCTTTAAAGTAGAGACACTACATACTGATATACACCTGAACATCAGCAGGAGAGGACTCTTTAAAGTAGAGACACTACATACTGATATACACCTGAACATCAGCAGGAGAGGACTCTTTAAAGTAGAGACACTACATACTGATATACACCTGAACATCAGCAGGAGAGGACTCTTTAAAGTAGAGACACTACATACTGATATACACCTGAACATCAGCAGGAGAGGACTCTTTAAAGTAGAGACACTACATACTGATATACACCTGAACATCAGCAGGAGAGGACTCTTTAAAGTAGAGACACTACATACTGATATACACCTGAACATCAGCAGGAGAGGACTCTTTAAAGTAGAGACACTACATACTGATATACACCTGAACATCAGCAGGAGAGGACTCTTTAAAGTAGAGACACTACATACTGATATACACCTGAACATCAGCAGGAGAGGACTCTTTAAAGTAGAGACACTACATACTGATATACACCTGAACATCAGCAGGAGAGGACTCTTTAAAGTAGAGACACTACATACTGATATACACCTGAACATCAGCAGGAGAGGACTCTTTAAAGTAGAGACACTACATACTGATATACAGCTGAACATCAGCAAGAGAGGACTCTTTAAAGTAGAGACACTACATACTGATATACACCTGAACATCAGCAGGAGAGGACTCTTTAAAGTAGAGACACTACATCCTGATATACACCTGAACATCAGCAGGAGAGGACTCTTTAAAGTAGAGACACTACATCCTGATATACACCTGAACATCAGCAGGAGAGGACTCTTTAAAGTAGAGACACTACATACTGATATACACCTGAACATCAGCAGGAGAGGACTCTTTAAAGTAGAGACACTACATACTGATATACACCTGAACATCAGCAGGAGAGGACTCTTTAAAGTAGAGACACTACATACTGATATACACCTGAACATCAGCAGGAGAGGACTCTTTAAAGTAGAGACACTACATACTGATATACACCTGAACATCAGCAGGAGAGGACTCTTTAAAGTAGAGACACTACATACTGATATACACCTGAACATCAGCAGGAGAGGACTCTTTAAAGTAGAGACACTACATACTGATATACACCTGAACATCAGCAGGAGAGGACTCTTTAAAGTAGAGACACTACATACTGATATACACCTGAACATCAGCAGGAGAGGACTCTTTAAAGTAGAGACACTACATACTGATATACACCTGAACATCAGCAGGAGAGGACTCTTTAAAGTAGAGACACTACATACTGATATACACCTGAAAATGAACCTTTTCCACTTTGTTCCTGATTAGTTTCTCATCTCAGGCGGTTACCCCTCTTAGTTTCACTTTTTATCACACTCTAAATAATATAAACACCCATTACTTCTGCATCTTTTCACTATGAGAGCAACGATCTGAATAATTGAGCTGCTTTGTTTACATGCCGCCCATCCCTTCACCTACATTCCCAGAATAAGGTCACTGTGTCAGATGTAATAAAGCCAGCCACAGGATGATATTATTTTCACCTCACAAGAAAACTAAAGGTCTGAATGTGTCAGATTAGCTTCCTGTGGCCTGGCTTCTGCTCCTGCTTCATCCTCAGTGTGACAGAAACGCTGGAGAAGCACTTCTTACCGCCTCCATGAGGAATAGTGCTCTGTAGCTGTCGCACTGAATGTCAAATAACACAGCCTGAAACCTCACTCGATCTTCACATCGGGAAATAAACCCTTTCACTACATGTGGTTGAACAGAGCTGTTTATCTATTATTTATTGAGGTGCACGGTATTGACTTCATTCCTGCCGCTACCTTTACCTCGTGTCAGATCGATGCTCGATTTACTTTACTCGTTAGAGAAGATCAGTCAAACTGCAGCTCCGTCTCACGGCTCAATCGCACAGGTCTGTGGAGGTCTGGAGACGTGAGATTAGTTTCTATTGGGTTCGTTTTGAGAAGTATTAAAAGCAGACGGTTGATGAAGTCATCCTAATCTACCTCTATATTCAACAGCCTTTTAAAGGGGTCCCTATTCTCCTCATTTCCAGGTTCAGATCTGTACCATGTCTCCATGCTTTAATGTTCAAAAAGCTCTTTATTTTTCTCATGCTGCCCTCTGTCTGAAATAGAGATGTCCCGATCTGATCACGTGATCAGGGATCGGAGCCGATCACGTGATTTTCAAAAGATCGGAATCGGGAGAAAAAAATCGGGGATCGGGAATGTTTTTTATTTTTATTTTTATTTTTATAAAATATTTTTATTTTATTTAATGTTACAAAACAAAAATGACCATGTTCACGTCTTAAAGTCATCCTGAGGCCTTCGTTTTGGTTTAAAATTACACAACATCATGTATGTGTTGCTTCTTTTGGGCTTGTTTTCATAGACCTGGTTGCTTATTTCTCTCAAATCTGGCAACAGAGTGGGCGCAGTGTCTAATAGTAGCAGTAAGCTAACAAGAGGCTACGTTCAGCTGGTGCCTCGGGACAGAGAAAATGTCAGGAGTTTGGAAGTATTATAAAATTGAAAGCGAAGGCAGTGTAACAGCCAGATGCAATGTTTGCAAGGCGGAGCTACGTTCAACACGACCAATCTAATACAAACACCACCAACAACACGACGAGTACACAGCGGCCACTCAGGTAACGGCACTGAAACAACCAACACTTTCAGAGACTTTTAAAAGGAAAGAGAAACTGCCCCAGAACAGTGAAAAGGCCAAAAAAATAACAGCCAAGATAGCTGAATTCATCGCGTTGGATGACCAGCCGTTATCTGTTACCTTTTTTTTCTCTTAATGCATTGCATAAAGATCGGATCGGGAAAAATCGGTATCGGCAGATTGTCAAAATCAAATGATCGGAATCGGATCGGAAGCAAAAAAAGGTGATCGGGACATCCCTAGTCTGAAACCAGTGTTCCAGGGTGATGTCACTTTGGGATTTTAGCCTTTGCAGACCATTTACATGCACTAAAACCTATAGAACAACCTACTGGAGAGGAACATTTTAGGTGGCTTTAAACTTAGCTTACTCTCACAGTGTGAAGATTAGAGTGTGTGTGTGTGGTGTGTGTGTGGTGTGGTGTGTGGTGTGTGTGTGTGTGTGTGTGTGTGTGTGTGTGTGTGTGTGTGTGTGTGTGTGTGTGTGTGGGTGTGTGTGTGTGTGTGTGTGTGTGTGTGTGTGTGTGTGTTGTGTGTGTGTGTGTGTGTGTGTGTGTGTGTGTGTTGTGTGTGTGTGTGTGTGTGTGTTGTGTGTGTGTGTGTGTGTGTGTGTGTGCACAGATTTTTTTAAGGAAAGGAGATGAAAGCCTTCCTCAGGTGGTACTGAAAACTGTGTGGGCGTGACCTTCACTTTGAAGAGAGTTTTGACTTCCTGTCATCTTTCTTTTTCATAAAGCGGCGACTTTACTTCAATGAGACAAACAGTGTCATCCATCAGAACAGAGACTCTCTCTCTCTCTGTTGTCTTTGAGTTGTTTTTGTGGTGACGGTTGCAGAAACACTGTTGAATGCCAAGTTATTTGAGATATTGAATGAGGCTTTCTTCTTCTTTCTCTGGTCTATTTAATCACATCTTTTACCAAAAGCGTGGTTAGCCTTGCTTTTGAAACTTGCTCTACATACAGATAAAATAATTTGACACCATTTGAAAAGGTAGAGATGAATGCTCAGCATGCTTTTGCAATCATTTAATGAAATATCTCAGCCTTTTTTAGACAGACTATTCACCTTGGTGCCTTGTATTGAATGCAGTGATTTAAGCTTTTTAAACTCAAAATCCTTGTCGTTTAAAGTCAGACGTCGGAGCAAATCATCCCCACATGCAACCTGCCTTTTAAACGATGTTGTATTATCATTCAAACCAATATATTTAAGTGATTACCTCCTCTCTTTTCTCAACCCTAGGTCCACTTCCCAGACGTAGAGAGGGTGGAGTGGCTGAACAAGGTAAGAATTGAGTGGCCGTCTCTTTCTTGGATTCGTCCGCCTGACTGAAGCTCTCGGGTTTACCTTCTGTGAACTGGAGGAAAAGGGATGTGCTCTCGCCTCCTCACACTGGGAGGGTGTGTGTGTGTGTTGCCTGGCTGTACACACACACACACACACACACACACACACACACACACACTCTGCAGCACACTGGACTTAACATGCAGGCTGGTCTCTGCAGCGCTTAGAAATCCATTAACCCCTGTGAGTCCCTATGGCAACGACCTGGATGTAAATTGTAAAGCGCACATAAGCACACAGGAAACGGATCTTAAATCTACAATTCATTTGCTGTTAAGTCAGTAAGGATTCTACCTTAATAACACTACATTTGGAGTGTTTTAAACTAGCTGTCTGACTCTCAGTTTCAGGGATGTAGCTACGATGGCAGCTTCAGAAAGGATGCAGATATTAAAACACAAATGTTCCACATGCAGAAACATCTTCATCAACTTGACAACACATGCAGCATTTAGAGAACATTCAGCCACTTGAGGACACATGCAGCGTTTACTAAAAGCTGCAAATACAGAACGCTGCAAGAAGCTCCCTTTAAATGAATGATATGATGGAAAAGGGTATCATATATTAGTCGGTTTCTACATTACTCCTCTTTTAATCTTCACTTCCTTATAGTCTACACTTCTTGCTGAAAACACAGCTGTTCAAACTAAAGCACCAGCACTTAAAATGGCTTATTTAAAACGAGCACTCTGAGTTTTCATGGGAAATTGATGTTATTGTACAAGTCTTTGGACTTGAAATGCAACGTGTCCCCTCAGACGGTGAAGCAGATGTGGCCGTACATCTGCCAGTTTGTGGAGAAGCTGTTCCACGAGACCATCGAGCCGGCGGTGAAGGAGTCCAACGCTCACCTGAGCACCTTCTGCTTCAGCAAGATCCACCTGGGAGACAAGGTGAGCTAATGCTAATGTCCCGCAAGAAGTGCAGTACAAATACTTCGTTACTGTACTTAAGTACATTTTTCTGGTATCAGTACTTTACTCCACTACTCCTCTCATATGACGCACACCTGCACACTTGCTCGCCTGTTCCACTCTTTGTTTTCCGAATGCCAGGAAGTATTCTTGCCTCGCTTCTGAAGCAAGTGGGTGTTTCTCAATGTCGAGTACGCTTGCTTGGTAGCACATGTCTGCTGAGCATCTTGCTTCAGAAGCGAGTCAAGAATACTTCCTGGCATTTGGAAAACGAAGAGTGCAACAGACGAGCAAGTGTGCAGGTGTGCGTCATATGAGAGGCCCCGCCTCTTACATTTTCCGCCACAGATTTGGGGAAATTGGTCCGTGCGCAAAGCATTGTGGGGATTTTAAGACCGCGGAGTCTACACATGTGCAGCCTCGAAATTTCTCGCTACGAAGTACCCCGGGCTCGTAGAATTCCAAGTATGCTGGACATTGGAACAGTACTTCGGCGGCACTCGATGACGTAGTATGCTTGAAATCGTGGCTCTGCAGCAACTTTACTCGACATTGAGAAACACCCAGTGACTCGGAAGACATGTGCTACCAAGCAAGCGTACTCGACATTGAGAAACACCCCGTGCTTTCTCTGCTGCCGCCCCTAAACTGTGGAGCGACCTGCCCTTGCTAATCAGACAGGCTCCCACACGGTCTGTTTTAAAACCCACCTCTTCTCTTTAGCATTCGGAAACAAGTAGATTGTTGCTTTTATTTGCTCTCAGTGGTCTATTGTTTGTACTATATGGTTGTTTTAATTTTTAATTTAATTTTGTAATTGTTACGTTTATTCTGGTTTGTTTTGTGTTTCGTATCTTTTATGTGATTTTATACTTATTTTTATGTTTTGTGAGCTGAGCTGTGTGATGTTATATTTGATGTATCTCTCTGTACAGCACTTTGGTCTGGAGGTTTTAAAGTGCTTTATAAATAAAGTTGGATTGGATCTTAGTGTCGTGGACTCCCCATTGATCAGCTGTCACAAAACACAGTAAATGGAGCATTAGCTTTAGCCAACATTGCTCATTTCCAGCTGTTGTCCTCAGCCAGATGATAACAGACACCTTTTTAAAATCACAGCATTAGTTATAAAGAAAGGATGAAAGACAAGTAGATACAGGCGAAAGGATAAAAGAGAACAATCAAATGCAAACAACACACGTTACTACATACATGTCACATATAGCACATACAAATGCTGGTCAGTGATGTCTTAAAAAAATCATGAATTCAAAGTGTTATTTAAATAAAGCTTTGACCCTTTCAGAATACAATTTAGTTTAGTTTATTTGTTTATAGTGTCGTGGACAGTCCCCATTGATCAACTGTCACAAAAAACAGTAAATGGAGCAGCTTTAGTCAACCTTGCTCATTTCCAGCTGTTGCCCAGATGATAATAAACACCTTTTTAAAATCACAATACATCAACAGCAGTGAGCTAATGCTAATGCTAACGTCCCTGCATGTCTCTGAGAGCGAGCACATGTTTATTTCAGCAGCTACAGCAGGTGTCGAGTGAACATATACATGCCGTCACATGTGTTTCATAAATAGTTTCCATGTGGGGGTCAGCAGGGGGTCGACCTTGGGGGGGTGTTGCTGTTGATAGACTGATGAGGTCATAATGCTTCCTCTGTTTGTGCTGCAGCCGCTCAGGGTCAACGGGGTCAAGGTTTACACGGAGAACGTGGACCAGAGACAGATCATCATGGACCTGCAGATCAGGTGAGACCCACAGGAAACCATTATGTAGTGTTGATTATAGAGTGGTGCAGGAATGAGTCCTTCAGGAAACCATTAAGTTCTAGCTTTAACTGATTGTGGTGTAACATTGAATACGATTATAGAGTGGTACAGGAATGAGTTAAACCTGGCAATGGCTCAGCAGTATGAGTCCTAAAACCCAGAAATAAGCCAGCCGCCTTTAGCTTAGCGGTGGTGACGTGAAGTCATGTGATCGTGCTGTAGTTCCTTTATAGCCCAACATTAGCCGCCTTTAGCTTAGCGGTGGTGACGTGAAGTCATGTGACCGTGCTGTAGTTCCTTTATAGCCCAACATTAGCCGCCTTTAGCTTAGCGGTAGTGACGTGAAGTCATGTGACCGTGCTGTAGTTCCTTTATAGCCCAACATTAGCCTCCTTTAGCTTAGCGGTAGTGACGTGAAGTCATGTGACCGTGCAACCCAGTCTCACGGCATTTCGTGTTATTAGTCACAAAATTAATTGAATCTATTGATTCGTGTTCACCAACACGATTTTCACATTTTTTTCGTGTCAAACAGAACGATTTTAAATGCAATGTATTTCTATTGGTAGTATGTTTCGTGCCTGCAACACGTCTTTTTGTCCGGTCGGGTCTTGGAAGACCAGAAGCTGTGTGGTTCATAAAAACATGTTCTTACTCAATATCTTACCCTAAGCCTAACCCTATCCCTTTTATTTTAAATTGTATAATGTCTGAGTTTTTTTGCCGTCATTGAGGAAAAGAAATGTCTCAGAGCCTCAGAATACTGACATCTGTATTTTATGTCATCTTTTTTTCCTTCTAATTTGTTATTATTTGGTGCAGGCACGAAACATACTACCAATATAAATACATTGCTTCTAAAATCGTTCTGTGTCAGAATACTGAAATCTGTATTTTTTTAAATGTGTTTTTCCTTCTAATTTGTTATTATTTACATTGCTTTTAAAATCGTTCTGTGTGACACGAAAGAAATGGCGAAATCGTGTTGGTGAACACGAATCAATAGATTCATTTCGTGACTATAACACGAAATGCCGTGAGACTGTGTTGGACCGTGCTGTAGTTCCTTTATAGCCCAACATTAGCCACCTTTAGCTTAGCGGTGGTGACGTGAAGTCATGTGACCGTGCTGTAGTTCCTTTATAGTCCAACATTAGCCACCTTTAGCTTAGCGGTGGTGACTTGAAGTCATGTGACCGTGCTGTAGTTCCTTTATAGCCCAACATTAGCCACCTTTATCTTAGCGGTGGAGACGTGAAGTCATGTGACCTTGCTGTGGGGACAGGTAGGGGTAAAATGTTAACTAATTTCTGAGTTTTAGGACTCATTCCTACACGAATTTCTCCCGTATGCTTTCCATTACGATTATGATTGGTTAAAGGCATTTAAAAAAGTGTTTTGCCTATGATCCAGGCCACAAAATGCTTCTCTCACATTGCAGTCAAGCTCCCTAATACCAAAGAATATATTATTTTGTTTATCTGGGAGAAATAAAAATGTCAGACTCAGGAGAGGAGTGTGTTCACGGTGCTGCCACTCAAACCCATATTGTTTTAGAAGAGTCAATCTGAATTCATGCCGCACAACACAAGTAATCTTCCCCTCAGCAGTGAAGTTTGTTCCCTCGCTGAGCGGCGGGAGATATGCTGCCTGTCGCCTGCAGCTCTTTAGCTATAACCCTTTGTTCCATTACTCCCTGAAATGTTAACTACCAACCACTTCTCAACGCTCTTTATGTGGAGCTGCAACAGGAGGAAATGTTTGTTATGCATTAGTGATATAACTCCAGCTCTGTGACAGGAGCATAAACAGTAAACAATGCGGTACGTATAAACTACATAACAATAAAAACAGGAACGCTGGAAGGCGGTTTGAAGTTATACTAATTTCTAAGTACATTGAGTGGCTTTTGCAGTAAAAAATGCTAACTATGCAGTATCTAAAACTAGATTTATACCACAAAATCTCTGTTGGAAAACCCCATGATGCATGTTTTTTATTTACAACAGGAGTAAGAGAAGTCAACATGATGTTCCTAAACCAACATCCTGGCTTTACTGACCATAAAATTCCTTTTAAAATTGATAAAAACCTGGAAAAATTGCTTCTATACACCGCCTGAATGTATGTGTGTATGCAAGTGTGTATGTATGCATATATAGGTGTATGTGTATGTATGTATATATGTGTGTATGCAAGTGTGTATGTATGCATATATAGGTGTATGTGTATGTATGTATATGTGTGTATGCAACTGTGTATGTATATGTATGTATATATGTGTGTGTATTAATAGGTACATGTGTACGTGTGTAGATATTTGTCATTTCAAACAACCCCTATGTACTTTTTCGTTTTTATTTGATTTTACACATTTTGTTATGTATTTAATTTGCCATTTTCGGTCACTAAAGAGATATGATTTGCAAAACTGTGCTTTTAATATAATGTGCCCCCTATTAAAGAATACAAATAAATAAAAAAACATGGAAAAATGTGCTTTTTTCCAACTTATTTTGTGTTTTTTCCCCTTTTAGTTTTGTTGGAAACACAGAGATTGACGTGGACATCAAACGCTACTACTGCAAAGCGGGCATCAAGAGCATCCAGGTAAGAAATCCTCTTTATATCTGCCTCTGTCATTTAATGGGCTTCTTCAGGAGCAGCTTTAAAGTCAGGACAGCTTATAAAAAGTTATTTGGCAAGGAGGTCCTCTCGTCTCTTTTTGTCTTATCATTCCTCTGCAGTGACATCTATCAAATGTCTGCATATAAAAAGCTTTTAGTCTAATGATTCAACTTCCTCATGTCCGCTGCCAACTCACACTGATGAGGCCGGCACGACTGATGATGGAAACAACACAAACAATAACAGTGTAATATGTAAGCAGCCATTATGAGATGCTTTACAACTAAGCCCGTTCAAAATAAAAGCATACGAGTCTCTGAGGTCGCAGGAGCTCCAAAAGACAAACGCTACGGACACATCTGGAAAACAAAAAGTCTTACACTGCAGGAATCTGTTGTTTTTCATTGTATTTGATTGTGTTGTAACCCCATTTGATTGATTATAAGACTACTTATAGTATAGTACTTAAATATTAGGATTACCTGTTTAAGCCCCCCTATTAAGTGTATGTTATTAAAAAATGTAATTGAGTGATTAGGTAATTAAAGGACAGTCACATATACAGTACTATATACTTATATGAGAAGCCCCCCTCTTGACTACATGACTGTGTTGTTGTTGTTGTTGTTGTTGTTGTTCCCGTCTGTCCTTGGCCTTTCTGTGTTCCAGCAGTGGAACAAACACTGAAAACAATCAGTGTTGGTCCTTGGAGACCGAGGGGTGTTAGGTCTATACCTGGGAGACATTTACTGCTGCGGCCCCCATTATGTAACTCACTGAGACCTACATATCTCTGCGGCTCATTATAACACACACACACACACACACACACACACACACACACACACACACACACACACACACACACACACACACACACACACACACACACACACACACACACACACACACACACAGCAGGTGCATCATATACTACTGACGGCTTTGTGAGGAGAGGGTTCAAACATTTTAAAAGGTTAAAACTATATTATAATAATAACAAATGAACCTGGGATTGTGTGTGTGTGTGTGTGTGTGTGTGTGTGTGTGTGTGTGTGTGTGTGTGTGTGTGTGTGTGTGTGTGTGTGTGTGTGTGTGTGTGTGTGTGTGTGTGTGTGTGTGTGTGTGTGTGTGTGTGTGTGTGGTGTGTGTGTGTGTGTGTGTGTGTGTGTGTGTGGTTGTGTGTGTGTGGGTGGGTGGGTGGGTGGGTGGGTGTGGGTGGCTGCCTTTAGAGCAGGGGTCAATGCATCCTGAAAGTACAGATTTAACACGAACATTAGTGCTGTAATTTGAGCATCCTTGTCCTCAGCAGCTTTGTGATGACCACCTGACACATGCAAAGCTCTTCCACCTCCATAATCCTTGTTGTTATCATTGTTTGTCATGGAGAAGATGCAGGGTGTGAAGTCAGACTGGGATCTAGTTTCCAGACGGTCATGTGCTGCAGCTAGCGGCTCCACAGAGGAATGTCAAGGGCCAACAAAGTGTGTGTGTGTTATCAATATATCCCTGTTGTGTTTCCATAGATCCACGGCGTGCTGAGAGTGGTGATGGAGCCGCTGCTGGGAGACATGCCTCTCATCGGAGCTCTGTCCGTGTTCTTTCTCAAGAAACCAGTAAGTCCACACACTGGGAATATCACACTGAGACAGAGAGGGCAGAAGTACACACATCCTTTACTCAAGGAGAAGTACAGATACTCGTGTTTAAAAATACTCTGGTAAAAGTAGAAGTACTGACTAAACTTCTTTACTCAAGTGAAAGTAAAGAGGGCTTTGAAATGTACTTCAGTAAAAAGTACCCATAACTAGCAGCTGTTTTAAAGAGTACCTGACCTCCCTTTATATTAATAGAACAATAATGTCATTGTTAGCTAATGAATGTTTCCATGCTGAACAACGGCAACATGACAACGTTTTCATTGGTCCCTCTTCTTTAGAGAAGACCAGGAAATGATGGATACACGGATCGTGTTCAAATCAATAGGCACGCAATGACTCTAAATAATAATGATCACGCCACCAAACACACATTCAAACTAAAGGAACCAGCCTGTTTGGGAAATGTGAGAAGTAGAAAGTACAGGTATTTGAGTTCAACATGTAAGAAGTAGAAAGTACAGGTATTTGTGTTCAACATGTAAGAAGTAGAAAGTACAGGTATTTGTGTTCAACATGTAAGAAGTAGAAAGTACAGGTATTTGTGTTCAACATGTAAGAAGTAGAAAGTACAGGTATTTGTGTTCAACATGTAAGAAATAGAAAGTACAGGTATTTGTGTTCAACATGTAAGAAGTAGAAAGTACAGGTATTTGGGTTCAACATGTAAGAAGTAGAAAGTACAGGTATTTGTGTTCAACATGTAAGAAGTAGAAAGTACAGGTATTTGAGTTCAAAATGTAAGAAGTAGAAAGTACAGGTATTTGGGTTCAACATGTGAGAAGTAGAAAGTACAGGTATTTGTGTTCAACATGTAAGAAGTAGAAAGTACAGGTATTTGAGTTCAAAATGTAAGAAGTAGAAAGTACAGGTATTTGTGTTCAACATGTAAGAAGTAGAAAGTACAGGTATTTGAGTTCAAAATGTAAGAAGTAGAAAGTACAGGTATTTGTGTTCAACATGTAAGAAGTAGAAAGTACAGGTATTTGAGTTCAAAATGTAAGAAGTCAGGATAAAAAGTCGTCAGAAAAATAAGTAGTGTAGTAAAGTACTGATACCAGAACAATGTACTTAAGTACAGTAACAAACTATTTGTGCTCCACTACTTCTCACCTCTGCACTAAAATAGACCTGTGTATACACCAGTGAATACAGTATGGTGCGAGTAGAGCTTCTTATGAGTAGGATACGACACATTCAGGGTTCATTTTACATTAAGTGGATGCTTTCGTTTTGTTGTGCTAACGATGGCATTTCTGTGAAAATCACATGCTGAGTATCTTTTAAACCCCACGTCGGTATTTTAGATTCTCATTGCAACTCATCAAAACAAATCCCTCTTTGGTTTCCTGGCAGAAAACATGTAAATTAAAATCTTCTCTCAAATCACCACTGAATTGCAGAATCATTTCATTTCCTCATCTGGCCTCGCTCACGCTCTTGCAGCTTAACACCCGTACAGGATTTATATCACTTTATATTATGTGCATTTCACATAGTTGCAAACGCATGCATCATCTCCTGTGCAGAAACACTGCTGCAGAACTGTCTGGCCCGATGTATCCAGTATGTGAGCACCCAGTGGAAATATAGCAGCGCTTTAAATAGCTGCACATCAAGCCAGCCCTACTTTGGCAGATCTCTCCACCCCGGGCTGAAGCTCAAGGTGGAGGAATGACTGGAGCCATGAAATCCCCATGTTTACTGTTACGCCCAGGACTCTAGGGGAACCTAGGCGCAGCACTAAATTGCCCTCTCCCCACTCTCCCCACTCTCCCCACTCTCCCCACTCTCCCCACTCTCCCCACTCTCCCCACTCTCCCCACTCTCCCCACTCTCCCCACTCTCCCCACTCCCAAGAAATGGACAATGAGACAGAAAAATGCCTTTGGTCATTTTAATTACCTGTTTGTTTTTAAAGGAGGCGAGACAACCCACATAAACAAATAACCCTGGGCATACATACATCTTGCCTAACAAAATAAGTAAAATAAAATACAGGCTTCTTACCTAACCTAACGAAAAAACAGGAGAAAACAGGATTTGAACAAAAGAAAAGGGTGTCGCACTCCTGGGCAAAGACAGGTTAAATTAGCTTATCTTTACAAAGATACCAGAAAGTGCAAAAGGACCGGTAATCGTTAGATGTAACCACACAGAACAATAGATCAGGTTTTCTACAACAGTCACGGCGTTGGGAGTAGGAGAGGTCGATGAGCGAGAGGGCAGAGGGACTGCGTGGCTGCAGCTTAAAGGTCCCATGTCATGGCCGTTTCTACTGATCATAATTCCATTGTTGAGGTCTACTAGAATACATTTATATTGTGCAATGTTCCAAACTCACATTGGTTTCTCATACAGCATCTCTGTATAGCATGTGTATTCACTCTCTGTCCTACACGGCTTGTGTTATGTGTTATGTGTAACGTTGCTGCCTTCTTGGCCAGGTCAGCATTGAAAATGAGATTTTATCTCAATGTTTTTATCTGGTTAAATAAAGATTAAATAAAAAAATAAAAATGTTGGAGCTCCTGCCCCCCCCCCCCCCTGTGAGCCCAGTGGCCGTCTGCGAGACAGCGAGACCCAGCGCGAAACACACACACACAGCTTGTGGGTGTGCCCAGGCTGAGTTCCGCGGTGTCTCGCAGACCCCACACCAGTGAGCCAGCTCACAGTGTCCCGCTCCTCGCAACGTCCCGCCGAGTGTGTGTGTGTGAGGAAGTCCGCGGATTGGTCCAAATGTAACTGCTCCGCGGACGTAACGTAACGTCACTATACCAAAGAAGTAAACAATGGAAAATGAGAAATGTCCAACGAGGCGTTCTGGGGCAGCATAGACAGGTCTTTTCTGTGTTAGAGTTTTACTCGCTACAGGGTGTACTTTGAGGGTTTGTGACTCTGCAGACCGTTCACATGCAGAAAAACCTTCATAACACACAAGGGGACGGGTAATAACCAGAAAATCATGACATGGGCCCTTTAAATACTCCTGTCTCTTCAGATGGGCCAATCAGCATGTCGAAGGCAGCCAATCAGCTAACGGGCACCATCTGCTTACACACACACACACACACACACACACACACACACACACACACACACACACACACACACAGCCACACAGCCACACAGCCACACAGCCACACACACACAGCCACACACACACACACACACACACGCAGCCACACAGACTCTCACAGGAGAAGGGTCATAACATTACACACATTGGTATTCAGGAAGATGGAGGGAAGATATAGAAAAAAGCAATTTCCTGCGAGCACAATAATCTCTACGCTGTGGATCCACGTAACTCAGCTTCCTTCTCACTTTAAGTGCCGTGCAAGGCCTGATCCTGGGTCAAATAAAACATACCAGACCATAAGAGGCAGCTCAGCGCAGTGTAAATAAAAAGATGCTCAGCTGTGAGAGTCTGGATCAGCTGGACTGTCTTTAAATAAGGCCTTATGAAGCAATGCATGATGGATATCTACATCGACAAAATGGGTAAATGAACAAGTAATGAGTGCTGCATAATGCCTGAAATAATGACAACATGATGCTTAAGAATAGCTGGAAATCTGGGGAAATTCACGTAACAATTAATCATTCAAATAAAAAAGGACAGTCGTTTTGATACCAATCCCCCTCAAAATACCCATCAGGTTACAGCTTCACAAAGTTGAGGATACCCTGCTGTAGTATGATAATTATATAGCTAGGGTTTACTGGAGATAACAACACAATTAAGTACATTCAAGGGATCAGATCAGGGACCAAAGTGTTAGAAAGGAGCTCTGCTAAAAGAGTTCTGCTAACTCTCTGCCAACATCCTGTAAGAGGTCATTTTTACAGAATAAATAAACGTCATGTGACACTTGTATTTGCATTCTTGAGATGAGATGTTTGTAATATCTGAATATGAAGCTACAAGGAGAGACTTAGCTAGCTTAGCACGTAGCATTTTCAGTAGAAGAGAGACGGGAAAAATAATAGATAAACAAATGCTACAGACAGAAACAGTTTTTTGTTGTGATCATCAATTCGCATGTGTGTTCTGTCAGACCCACGTGGTGTTCTGTAGAAATCTAGAAGGAATTTGGTTTAAAGGTCACCTATTATGCAAAATCCTCTTCTTCATGTCTCTTCTTCATCAACATGTGTCCCCACTTCTTCATGTCTCTTCTGTCCTGATCCATTTTTATAAAAACCTGTCTGAAAATGGCTGATCAGATTTTGGCCACTTTATGATGTCATAACGATGTTTTGGCTTGTGTAACCATTAGCCAATCAGCAACCAAGGTAACCCCCCCCACCTTATCACCTGAATCTCCTCCTAGAGCACCATTGAGTTCTTTGTAACCAAATCTCTCTCAGAGGGGCGTGGGGAGGGGCTCCTTATTTTCATCTGAAGTAACAGACAGAGAATCAGCACTTTGGAAACAGGGCTGAAACAGAGGGGATTATGGGTAATGCTGCAATGATCTGTTTGGTGTTTCAGCCAATCAGAGACAGGCTCTGGATATATCTGAGACCTGTGATATATTGATGAGAAACAGTCTCATAGGGGACCTTTAACTTGAGTTTGAACGGAAGTTAAACGCTGTTACGTTAGTGAATTAGGCCAAATTAAGCACAGTTGTACAGTCCCGTGCTCTCCCCTACATCCTTGTTACCTAAACACAGCAAAAGTATGGCTCCATAGGAATCATTAAACACTTTCCCACCACACTGAGACATGTGCAGAGCTTCTCTCCCTGCAGCATCGGTGCATCTGCTGCAGAAAGTAGGGTGGGAAACCCTCATTAGAGCTGCTTCAGCTGGAGGAATCAGATCAAAGCTGCTGAGATCCCCCCTACACACACACACACACACACACACACACACACACACACACACACACACACACACACACACACACACACACACACACACACACACACACACACACGCTCCTTTAC